TCGCTCGTGTTCGGCTCGTTTACACCCCTAGTCAGGGGCACCGTATTCTCCAAATGCCAGTCAAAAAGCTGCCAATGGGGCCCTTAGTAATAACTATATATAATTTTTCAAAACACACTCTTACGGTAACAAGAGAAATTATTAGATTTAAAGTAACGTTCCTTAAAAGAAAATAATAATTATTACTTGAAAATAAATGAGGATGTAATTTATATGTTTGTTGCATCTTAAAAAGATAAATCTTCTTTTGACTTTTAAAAATAGTAAAATAAAAAATAATCATTATAGCTTATTTGAAAGTTTTTTTAAAACATTTATTTTCGGCGCACTTAGTCCAAAAAGGACCACCAATTTGAAAAAGAAGATTTACATTCATAATACTTTAAAAATTAAAAACAGTATTTTTTTATATGATATAAAAGTTTGGGTGGAATATATATATATATGTTTGTGTGTGTGTAATATTCTAATTGAGTTAATATTTTATTATAATAATTAAATTTAAATATTGCTCATATTCTTAACATCCTGCAGTTATATCACGTTATCAAAACAAGTCGTCGTTCGTGAACAGCTCGTGTTCAGCTCGCCAAGCAAATGAGTCGAACTCGAACAAAATTTTTTAGCTTAATATATAAATGAGTAAAACTCTAATTGTAGTGCTTTTTAACAAGTTGAACATGAACGAACTCTGGGGTCGGTCAAACTTGGCTGCTCTACACCCCAAAATACCACCAAAACATACACACCACCACCGCATATATCACCACCACACCACCCGACATCATTACCACCATCACAAGTGAGGCGAGAATCATCTCAACCGAGACAAAGAGTTACCCATAGGCGTGTTTATTAAAATGTTGAGCGCCACACCATTTTTTCGAATCGCCACGTTTGCCATTTTCTCGCCACGCAGCAGCCAAAAAGCAGTGCCAAACACACCCTTATTAATAAATATAGCTAATTTTTCAAAAATACACTCTTATAATAAAATAGAGTGGTATTTCTGCACTTTATTGAAAGTTGGCATAACTTAATTTCAATCGCTTTCAATTTCTCACCTTAAAAACAAAAACAAAGACTATGATTCCTTCCGTAATTTGAAAAGGAATATTTACATACATTCCACTCAATTATTGTGTATCTACATGTTCAACACCTAAAGTTCAATTTTTACATGTATGCCATTCAAATATTCAATATTAAAACTGGTATTTTTTTTTTATGTGATATGAAAGATTTGGGTGGTATAAAAAGGTGATATTTTTTATAAGATATGCAAGATTTATGTGGGTTTATTTATAAAAAAAACAAAATTTAGTTTGTTATGTATGTAAATACACAAGAATTGGACATATGCATGGAAAAGGAAAAATACAGTGATCGAAAAGACTAACACCACACATGCACATTCTCTCCCAACTCAGGAAAATATTTGCATACATAACGTACGTCTACGTACGTCTGGAGGTTATTCAGAGGGTACAGGGGTTATATCCGCATTATAACCCCCGTAATCTACCTGTAACTTACCTACAGCTATCGGAACTATAGAAGCACAAAACTTATTTGTAGGTTACAGTTAGATTACAGAGATGTTACAGAGGGTATAACATGGATATAACCCCCCTATACCCATTGAATAACCTCCAGACGTACGCACCGCTGAGCACGTCTTAGGTATGATAATATTTTCCCCCAACTCAAGTGGCCCCCAATCGACTCGCCGGTCTAATTTTCCCCCGAGTTGGTCCGGCCCACGAACCAGGCCCAAACCCGGCCCGCAATCCAGTCGGCTGGCCCGTCCGGCGCGCGCGAACCGTATACGCCGCCGCGGCGACCAGAAGCCCAACACCAAGAACTCCGCAGGTCACGCCGCCAATCAACAGCAACATCCTCCGCATACGGTCGCCGCTCACCGGTTTCGCCGGCGACACCTTTCCGGCGACTCCCCAGACGGGATCCGTCGTATTCCTCCCCGTCGGCAGAGGCGCCGCCGGTCGATCCCCGAAGAACGCCGCCATCGCCGGCGACGGGTCCCCGGGATCGTTCTCGTTGGGTAGGCCGTGATTCGACGGCTGGATTTCGCCGGTGTCCGATTGAACGGCGGAGCAGACAGACAGCAGGCAGAGCGCCAGTTGGAGGGCTTGACCGCGATTGCGCGGCATTCTCTCTCGTTCTCTCTCTCTCACCCTCCTGATTTTCTTTTTGAAGTTGCGCGGAAGGAGAAGATTGAAATTGAATGGTGAGTTTGACCTAATTCGCCGCTTTCGGTGAAAAGAGAGAAAAGTTTGGGGTTCAGAACAAGAAATCGAGTGAAGATAATAAGATCAGCTAACCTGATCTATGGCGGCATCCTCGCCGGAAAAATCTATCTCTCTAAGGGAATTGAAAATTGGGAATCAGAGCGGAGGAGAGAGAGAGAGAGAGAGAGAGGGAGGGAGAAAGGGCTCCCCCAACAATCAGCATTCATTTCCCTTTCTTGTTGCGAGTATAAGAATCTTTTACTTAAGGGGCATAAATTAATAGAAGTTATTTATATAATTAATTATTTTTATGTTATATTTATGTTTTTTTTATGATATTTAAAAATATATTCTCACCTTTTTACTAAATTTACATATAAAACAACTTTATTTGGTTCCATACCACCCAATGTAATATGACAAAAGAGTTATTGTAAGTGCAATTAGCAATGGCAATGCATTATAATGGTCAATGAAGGTTGTTGCAATTTAAATTTCATAGAGTTGCCTCTTATATTTGGATTTTATTAGCTACAATGGTTTTATAGATCATGATATGATGAAATATTGGGGTGTTAATGAGCCGATTTCGAGCCAAACGGATAGATTTGAGTTCAGATCGAAATCAGCTCGTGGTTTATTAGATTTGATTTCGAGACAGTTCGACTCATAATTGAATCAAGTTGGATTCGGCTCAAAAGCGAAACAAGATGGTTCAATTATGTGTTATTCAGATCTGTTCCAGCTCGAAATCGAAATAAGATGACTCAAATTGAGTTAATTTGGATCTTTTCTAGCTCGAAAACAGCTTGTAACTCCTTATTTTCTATTTTTATTCAGCATTATATAAGATTTTTTATTAAGAAAAAAAAAATAGTTCGAGTACTTGATGAGCCATTTCGAGCAGATCCTTGTATGGTTCAAAATCGGCTAGATCCAAACTAAAATTCGAATCAGTTTTCTAGCTATTAACATTCTTCGAGCTAAATTCACAACATTAATGACATGTGTCCTCTCATGATAAAAATATAGAAAATACAACATGAAAAAAAATTCACAGCCCTACCAACTTGAAATTTTTGTATGCATTGCTAAACATTACAAGCAAAAGCATAGCATTTATAAAATAAATCATCATATTATATGAGAATAATGATTGCATTATTTTTTATGAATTAACAGAACAATACCATATAGGGAAATTAACAGAGTAGGACACAATTCTTATGGATTTACAAATCTAACACCGAAAGTTTGATATTTACATTTATAACACCTTGGTCACATAAACTCATGCACAAAAAATGCATGTCTTTTAAAATGTTAGTAAAAAAATGATATTTTTGACGTGATGTTAAGGATTTAAGTGTTATGAACGTAAATAATAAAGTTTAGGTGTTAGATATGTAAATACACGAAAATTCTGTGGCACATAGGGCTGTCAATTTGGCTCGTGTTCGTGAACAGCTTATGTTCGGCTCGTTAAGCAGCTCGTGTTAGGCTCGTTAAGCAGCTCGTGTTCGGCTCGTTCGTTAAGCCTAACGAGCCGAAAACGAACACTTTTTTATCATATATTATTTATATAATAATATATTATATATATTTATGTCTAAGTTTAAATCATAGCACCTAACGTGACAATGTGGTTAGTGTCTTCATTTGTATAGATTTTATCAAGGTTCGAATCCCACACTTTATATCTATTTTTCTTAATTTTAGTTTAACGAGCCAATTTCGAGCCGAACACGAGCCGAATATTTAAATCGAGCCGAACACGAACACACTGTTACGAGCCGATTTCGAACACGAGTTATTTCGAACGAGCCGAACACGAGCCAAGCCAAGCTCAGGCTTGTTTACAGCCCTAGTGGCACAATTGTAATGCTCTTAATAGATAATATTAACAAATCAAAGCCAAAAAATGCTTTGATTTTTTATCTAAAGTAGGGCAAATGGTTAATCAATCCTAATATTATTCCATCTCCATCAAAATCATTTTTTTTTTCTTTTTCTATACAAGAAGTGGTGGTCATAATCGTGGCTAACAAATTGCTTTGTGGGTCAAAAATCAATTAAGTACTCATGGTTTTGAGCTTTAGTGTACAATGACACCACTAGATCCTGTGGTCCCGAACAATTCTTAAAAACACTTAAAAATGATCCAACGGTCCAGACTAATTTTAGTAGCTGAGAAAATAGCATTACTGGTGAATGTGATTGAGAAAGAGACAGAGGCCAAGACTTGTGAATGTTGAAGAATTGGTTTACATGTAATCTTAATCTAAATTGAATTGGGATAATTACATACAAACCACCCGAAACATTAATATTTACAAATTAATCACCTATGTAATTTTTTTGAACTGCCGAACTGATGTATTTACGGTCAAGTTTTTAGAATTTATTAGTTAATACAATTACTTAATGGGTTTAAAGCATTAGAAGCAGCTGTAGCAAGCATATAAGAGGCATGTTATCACAACTGGTTAGGGGGAACTTTAGACAAGTATCATTAATAAGGTGAGGCATTTACATACATTGCACAAAATTTATATGTATTTATATATCTAACATCTAAATGTGAATATTAATTACGCACATGGAACTCAAATATGTAATATACAAAAAAATTACGCTATCATCACTTCTTAAAGGTGAAGTGCATATTTTTATGTATAGATTTAAAGCGCCAAAGTGATGTATATGTAAATGTGAAAGTTAATGTGGGAAATATGTAAATACATAGGAATTTTGTGCTAAGTATGTAGATTTTCCAAGTAAGTTTTGCTAATCAATCAATGGTGTTGAGGCTATGTCCATGAATTTAGACCTAATTTGTTAGCTTTATGAAGTTTTTTTTATAAAATATCATTTAAATAAGCCATGTACATCTTATATGGATTACATATATATTTTCTATTTTTTCTCTTTAAACCTTAGACAAAATTTAGACACATACATGTAAACAAGATGTTTATTACATAATAGATGGATATCCTCAACTTGTACATAGAACAAATTCTTGGTTTGAATATCCAACTTAAATTTGATACTAAAATGTTAAATAATGCAACACAACGGCATGTGAGCCACCTGTATTTTTTGTAGCCACGCCATGACACCGAAGCTTTTGTTTATTAATCTAATTGTGAAGTAATAATACTATATTAATCAATAAAAAATTAATAGTTAAGCGGCCCAAACTTGTTTTGCTAATTTATCTTCCCTCAAAACAATTAATTTAAGGGAAATTTATAGATGTAGCACACAACTCTTATAAGTTTGATATTTACTCTTATAATATTTTGGTTTTATGAACCCATATAAAAAATGCATTTAAATAACAAAAAATTAGTGAAAATGATATTTTTGTATATATATATATATAGCAAGATATTTGAAAAAACCCTTGGTTTCTATTATATTATTAATCATATATTTATATTCAGGAATATCTAATTTACATAGGTCTACCTTAAGCCTCATGTCATTATCAATAGATACTAGTTGTACACAAAAATGGCACTCCTTTATCTCCTTTAATAGCAAAATTATCTATTTTAATATTGTAAAAAATATGCTCCTTTACTAATGACGGAAGATTTATTATCACACAAAAAATATTTCATCCGGACGGCCAACCATCTAGCATCACATCATCCGCCAATAAGTTGTATGGTGATGTGACGCCTGATGGATAGCTATCAAGACGTGGTCTGGAGAAATATTAACTCCACACACACACAATTCAAGTCAATTACATACCAAACAATTCTGATGTATTGACATATTTAACACTCCAACTATTTTATTTGCATGCATAACACAAATCTTTAACATCAAATGAAAATATCACTATTTTATAATTTAAGGGAAATATATAATCTTCTTTTGCAATTTAAATTTCACACAATTTTCAAATATAAGCATAGAATAGTATATCAAAGCAAGGGGTATTGCTTTTTCTGCAGAGAAATTACAAATATTGTACAGCTTAACAGAGAATTAATTGGATATCTTTGGCAACCAATAGAGGATACGATGAATTAATAATATGAGAAAAATAGCAAACAAGCTGTATTGATGCGAAGCAAAGCAACCACCATCAGGAATCCAATAATCAGCTCTGGGAGATGTCTTTATTATCTAATATTTTCTCATCACCTAAATCTCATTTAATTTACAGCTATATATATATATATATATATATATATATATCAGCTAGTTTGATCTGCTCTGAGTGATATAGTGTATTGGTTCAATGCTATCAATGCTGCACCCACAGCTGGTTCAACCTGCACATGTAATAGACAACTTGGAATTAGATTAAAAAACTTTACCATTTAAAATTAGTTAAAAGATTTTGGCGAATTTGCATACATTACTCTTAAAGATTCACTATTTTCATATTAAACATCTAATATTTACTATCAGACCACAGCAAGAATACCACTCCAATTAAAACCAAACTTAAATTATGTAATGTGTTTGAAACTCTTTAAAGTTATTTGGTTTGGTGCAAAGTAAATATAGGAATTTATATTTTTAAGTTTAGTTTGAAGAAAAATAAAATCAATATAAAACATGTTCAATGATGGCAGCGGCGGCGGCAAGTGGTGGTGGCAGACTGAAGTCTATAGTGTATTTGGAAATCGCCCAAATCTAACGAAATTGGAATGCACAAGTTTTGAATTGCATGATGAATGTCAAATTCATGAAAATTTTACACTATATTTCATTTTCATCCAACTAGACATCATAATTTAAAAAACTCGCACAGTTGATTTAGTTTATACCACTAATGTAGTGAACAAATAGCTCCAGAATAAATTTCAGATAAAGCTGAACCTTGTCCCAGCTTTCGCCAAAATTTTAATTCTGCTTCCAGTTGAAGATTCTTTGTGGTCACGAGAGGAGCTGCACAAGAGATTATTTGGGTTGATTTGGGCGGTTTCTTTGGAGTATGAGCAGGCGGGACAAATTTGATGGATTCCTCTGGTAAGGTTTTTGACGTGGTAAGTAGGGATATGTGTCGTCAGATATGAAAATGGAGAAGATTTAAATGTCATGAATCTAAACCCACCCAAAAATTATTATATGAAAGCCATCCAACTAAAACATCTCTAAAACTTGAAAGATTTTCACTCATGCACCAGCATGCCTGGCCACCCATTTTAAGGAAAACAGTTCAAAAAGGTTATTGCCATCCTTAAACGCTAGAAACAAGCACCGAGCTCCATCAGAGAAAGATCGTGAATGCCTCTTAAGCTATGTTGACTGGTAATGCGCTTCTTTCCTGCCCTTTCACATGATCCAGAGGAAAAAACCATCTATAAATCCTCAAAATTTGCAGGATTTGAGTCTAAATGTAGATAGAGCCTAAAAATTACAATTGATGTATGAAAGCCCGCACATCTAAGTATGACAATTGCAGGCTCCTGTAGTACACGCTAATGAGAACATCTGCTCCAAATTATTCTTGCACAGAGGCCGTTTGGGTCAACTTTTGTTTTTCTAAAAATTCGTTTAAAAACATGACACGGTTCTAAGGCTCCTGTAATGCAGGCTAATGAGAACGCCTGCTCCAAATTATTCTTGCGCACAAGTCTTTATGGTCAACTTTTGTTTTTCTAAAAATTTGTTTAAAAACTTTACATGGTTCTAAGACTCCTAGAAGGTGTTTGGAAAGTGAATTTGGCGAGGAGGTGGTGGAGGAATAGCAAGGTAATAAAAATACAGGCAGCCGATGATATGTGAAGGGGGGTAGAAGATGTTTGGCGGCTGGCCCTGCTGAAAATAGCAAAGAGAGCTCCGAAATGACGACGTATAGATGACGAGAAGATTCACCACCTGTTCCTGCACAAGCTACAGACACAACATTTACAAAAAAAAAGAGTATACAATACTCCTTAAAATAGAAAATAGAGATTACAGTCTCCAACAAACACAAAATCAAGCAAAAATCTCCTAAACCAACAAAATAATAACATATAAATATCTCTAGCTAGAACGAAATCCTAATTCGAAGACAAGAAATACAAAATAAACTATCAAGGACAAGTCCCTACTGAATTTGCCAACTGAAAGAGATGCTCATGTTCAGCCCTCCCGCAAAAGTGATTCCCACTCTGGCATGTCATGGAATCGCAAAAATTATGAGAAAATACTCTACCAGGATGAGCATTGGTCACTGCTTGCTATCTCGCTATTGCAGGATCAATTCCACAATTGTAGAATCCTGCATGTTGTGGGATCACGAGAGAAGCTCTGGCATCGTTCTCCCCTACTAGGAAAGGCATCCTCTTCTTCTCTAAAGGCTTTTGGAATCTATCTATCACCATAAGAAAGTCATTGCCCTGTTGTGGCCGAGTGGTGCCACAGCAAAATCTATATTCACGTCCACCCAGCATAAATCTGAAATACGTACATCCTTCTAATAAAATAAATAACCATCCTTTTTTTGGCACAACCAAAGCTCGAACTGCACATAGATGGATATTCTAACGAACCAAATCTTAAGATATTAAATCTATCGTATCTCCCGGTCATCGTGTTGGCCGTGATATACAAGTCTATCTAGAGTAACCAAACCTAGAATGAAATCTATAGCATGTTGGACCACTCTCAGTGGCAATGAGTTGGGACATCTGGTAACTCCCTCAACAGGACCCCTTTTGTTTTATCGGCTCATCAAACTTACTACTTTCTAGGATAAACAAGTATTAGTCCTGCTAGAGTCTCTCATGGTTTCAGCTTGAATCACTAGCATCATCAATTGGAAGTTGATACTCCTCTTTGACATCTTCATTCTATCTTGTGTCATTGTCTATGTTTTTCAATTGCTCGTTACTTGGTGAAAAAAATCACCCTCCTATTTGGGTAATCAGACACAATGTGCCCAAAATTATGACATTTGAAGCATTTTTTAGATGAGATAAACTTGGGAGTACTGACGGTCTCCGCCTCTTCTCTACTTTGTATGGGCTTCTCTTTGAGTGAAGTCAGCTTTGGTGCTCCACTAGGTGTACTCTTATTGCTTGATCTTGGGGTTAAACTCTGCACATAAGGTGTAGCGATCACCTAGTAATGTTGTTATTTCTCTATTTGTATATCAAGTAGGGATCAATATGGCTATAGCTACACATTACTAATAGCTAGTTTCAATCTTCTAAGATATCTTGTTACTGGGTACTCATTTGATTCCACCAACTCATATTTCAGCATGAGTTGATCAGTTCCATTGTGTACTCCACCATAGAAGACTCTCCCTGGCGCAAGTTATAGAGTTTTATAAACATGCCATGTCGGTAATGTGGGGGAATGTAGTTACGCTGCAACTCCCTTCTCGTCTTGGACCAGATAATAATAGCAGTCAATTTAACTCTTAGCATAGACGCTTTTCCATAATAAGGAAGTGTTATTCGTAGGCTTGACAGAAGTCAATTTAACTCTTTTGCCTTGAATAACATCTTCGTACTAAAAAACTCATTCCACTGTTTAGAGTCAATCGATAAACTTGTCTGAATCCATGATAACGTCAAAATCTGATAAATCCACTTTTACTCCAAGATCATGGCTTCCCAAATATTCTATGTCAAATCAACAGAATATTGGTTATTCATCACCAGAAACTTCCGATATAAGGTATTCACTTCCTCCACTCGATTTGACGAGTCACCATTATGGCTATTGGTGACATTATCAAATTCTCCTCTTAAATGCGGCAAGCCTTGATATAGTTGAAGAATTATCCATTGCATATCCTCCCAAGTAAGTTCGTGGACACCCCAATTTTCCTCTTGGTTTAGCATCATTTTCTCCCCCATTAAGTTTTGAGCGGATATAGTATTGCAAATCAAGGTTGGTCGAGGATTACATTCTGATGTTAGATGTCATTGTGAAATTTTGGTGAACATTAGGGTTGGAGAAAGAAATTCCAATAAGAATTGTTTAAGTATGGTGGAGATTTTTTTTTTTTTTTGAATTTTGGATTTGGGGCAAGAAAGACAAATCCACAAAAATTTAAGGTTTGTCGGGCTCAAATATCAAGTGACATCGTTCCAAGACTCCTGAAAGGTGTTTGAGAAGTGGTTTCGGTGAGAAGGTGGAGGAATAGTAAGAGAATGAGAGTATTGGTGGTCGACGATGTTTGGAGAGAGGTAGATGATGTTTGGCAGCCATCCCGACTGAAAATAGCAAAGATAGCTCTGAAGCGATGATGTACGGATGACAAGGAGATTCACCACATGCTCCTACACAAGCTACAGACGTACCATGTGCAAAAGAAATATGATACAGTACTCCTTGAGATAGAAAAGAGAGATTATAATATCTAATAAACACAAAATCAAGCAAAAATCTTTTAAACAAGCAACATAATAACATATAAATAATTCTTACTAGGAAAAAACCCTACAACAACAACAAGCCTTGATCCTAGTAAGTGGGGTCCATTGTCCTATTGAGTGTCATATTTTAATTTAATTCTAATAAATTAAGATTATTTTCCGTACATGCTCAAGTTTTCTTAGGCCTACCTCTACCTTTCTTAATATAGGTCGAATCTAATACATCTGCTCTCCTAAAAAGATCGACAAATGGTCGACATTTAATGTGACCAAACCATCTAAACGACTCTCTCTAATCTTATCCATCATAGGAGTACACTAACCCTTTCACGAATACATTTAATGTGACCAAACCACCTAAGCATGCTCATCTCAGTAACCTTTAACTTAGAAAGAAACCCTAATTAGAAGAAAATAAATAGGAAATAAACTAGAAAAGGCAAGAATCCCTGCCGAATTTGCCAAACTAGACAAAATTTGCCCTCCCACGAAAGTGTTTCCGCTCTTGCCTGTCAAACATCCTACGAAAATCCTCTATCAGTACAAGAATCGGTCCTGGTTCTCCATCCTGCTGTCACGGGATCGATTCAGCAATTGCGGAATCCCGCAAGTTGCAGGATCACAGAAAGCTCCTCGTCAAAACTAATAAAGCAGTGTTTTAAAGCCACATTAAAATCACCGTATAAAATAGCTACAAAATGATGTTTTATGAGAAGAACTTTTAGACAAGTATACCAATCAAAAAACGCTGAAAATGATAAAACTGTTTTCAATAAAACAAAAAAATTTTTTAAAGCTTTCCCAAACGAAACCTAAGATTCTGACTACTTGCAAAGCGGTTTGGAAGTAGTTCCAGTTCACCAAACTTCAAAAAATTGAATCTTTCGTTAAAGGCTGCAACTCACTACCTACAATGTAACAAAATTTCATTCCAACAAAAGAAATTGCTGCAAAGAAAGTTTACTTGCCTCGGGATGAATAGAAAAAACTCCTGGATAATCCTTTGAAATGTGCTTTAGGACTTCCTTTCCAATGTCCCATTTCTTGTTATTAGCTTCAAGAACGCCTCCAACCATTACCAATGGAAAAGAACTGTTTCCATCTGGAACCAAAAGGTTCTTCATGAAACTCGATCCTAAAAGATTATTAGATAAAACGACTACAGTTAACATTTTAAGAAACCACAATTTATAGATTACTGCACCTTCCCCGGACAATTTAAGTCTTTGGATTACAGCTTTAACACTATCAGCCAACTCCTGAACTGAATAATGCAGTATTTTGTTTGCAGCCTCATCTCCAGCTTCTGCTGAAGCAACCACTACTGGAACAAGAGCAGCAATGCGAGCCCATGATGAATCTGCATAAGTCCACCTACAACAGACAAGGAAGTAATGGAAAGAGAACATTAATCTGAAATTTTTGTCTTGGTGTGCTCATGAAATTTGGCTTGCAATAGCATTTATAAGGGGTTTTGTTAATAGAAAAAAAAAAAAGTGAAGAAGAAGAAAAAGATGTTTTTTCTCATTTGGAAAGAATGCAAAGACATGGGTGTATGGATGCATAACATTCGTTGACAAGCCTTAAAATAATAGGTACATTTGCATGCATACCACACAATTCTTATGTATTTACATATCTAACACCTAAACATACATACCACTCAAATCTTTAACATCAAATCAAAAATACAACCATCACTATCATTTTAAGAATGAAATACAAATTTCCATGCATAAATTTAAGGCACCAAACTGTTATAAGGGTAAATATCAAAATTTTAGGTGTTAGATATGTAAATACATAAGAAAGATATGCTATATATATATGTAAATCATCCTAAAAAAAAACGGACTGTTTACTGGAGTCATGGGTCCATCTGAATGTTAAAAAACGCCCATCTTAAATAGTCGCATTTTACTTTTATTGCAAATCATTTGTACTTCATTGTCTTTTTAAATTGTCATGATTGCCTAGGCACTTTGTATTTCAACTTCAAGATTTCCAAGTTTATCTTGTTCAAGAAACATAAATGAATTACCTATGAATGTTTTAAACCAATAAACTACTTCGATAAGACTTTATTTACTGCCTAGCTATGGTAGATAAGATTACACGTCATTGTAGTTAACTGTGCCCCTTAAGATACATTTAGGAATGAAACAGGTGATGACCTATCTGATTCAATATCAATAAATATATATATATATACATATATAAGGCAAATTCATTGATATAAAAGAGAAGATAAAAAGGTTTTAGTGAGTTGGGTGGTTTTAGTGAGTAGCGAGTGGGTACAAAGATATATATATAATATATATATATATATATATACACAGAGAGAGAGAGAGAGAGAGAGGACTCAAAATAGTCACCTAATTACCTAATTACTTGTATGAGTTCCTTTCTGATACCAAATGATATCAGAGATAACCTAAATCACAATACGAAAAAAAAAAATTTATTGAAAGCAAATATGTGGTTACAATCAAACACACTTGAAAAGAGAAATGACACCAGGGTTCGATCCATGGGTGGTGGCGATCCGCTAGGAGGTCAGAGAGCGGAGGTAGGTGGCTGAAATGGGTTGTGGGTGGTTGGGACAGCAAAAAGTTGCAAGGGTGACAACAACAAAAAGGGGCCGGACAGAAACGAATAGGCTGGATAGGACGATCCTGGGTTGCGGCAGCAAGGGAGGAGGATATCGCCAGTGAAGGAGAGGAGTTGTGACAAGGGCTGCAAGCTAGAATGAGAGAAATAGGTGGCCAGGCGGCTGGAACAGCAGAAAACAGCGAGGGATTGCTGTTTTGGGAAGGCTGCGACGACCGGAATGACAATAGCAGCAGTGGGGAAAGCGTGGGGCAGTAGGACAGCAAAAGGAGTGTCCTGGGACTGTGGCAGCGAGGAGGTTGGTAAGACGGTGAGGAGCTACAGGAACACCAGCAAAAGGATTGTTGTTGGGGCCGCAGCAGCGAGAAGGAAGGCGTGGTAGTGAAGCGAGAGGGATGTGGGAAGGGATAAAAAACATGATCACCACCGAGAAACCAATATACAGCCAAAACACCACCTAAAACCTTAGGATAGAGCCATTGAAGGGAAGATAAGACCTAGCGGCTGTACCAATACAAAACACAGGAGCAACTAATCTCAGAACGCCAAAAATACAAATTTATGATAAGAGAATAATTAGGAGTGAGCTCAGTCCAATTGGGCGGCAAATCCAAGAAAAAAGGAGTTTTCCGGTTCTACGGGATTATGAGCCGAACCAGGCCAGGGCACACGCCTGCGCACAAAGTCAATATAAGTGTCAAATTAGCCCCAAATTGGGGTTGAAATAGTCCTCCATGGAGACTATTTAAATCTACATTAAAAGAGTCTAAGAACTAAATTGACACTTTTATAAGGACTATAAAAAGTCAGGAAATTATTTGGATATATATATAAATATAGGAGCTCAGGTTCCAACATGGGCATGGTTTCAAGGTCGGATTCATGTTCAAAATCAGCTTCACATGTAACCACTGGTGCAGATAAAATAACAGTATGCCATCTTGCATTAAAGAAGCGAGCAATGCTAAGAAATTATTTCTAAACAAAGAAACTCTGCATTAGTTAAAAAGAGGGTCAGAGAGTTAGACAGGGTAGTTCTTTCTTCTACTAAATAAAGTTCCAGCAGGCTTGCGCTTCTTTTATGAAGCAGCAACTTTAAACAAAGAGGAAAACTGATCTAGCTTAAAAATGGCAGCTTTGCTAGCCAGCTTCCCAGAAAGAAAATTCTATTTTTGCAATTATTTCTGGAAATCTTTAGCAATTCAATTTCTGGAATACAAACTATAATGATCATAAAATTGTTGAATTAAGTCTTTCTATATTTTGCAAGTTGAAATCAAATTAATCATTTCATGAAATGCATAGAAAGAATTTCAATGAAAAGAGGAAATACCCAATAATTTCGTCAGGAGATGAAAGTCCAAGTAAATTGAGGATGTTATTTGTAAGTATTGTTTGTGGTCCACGGCCATCATGAGCTCTAATTACAGCCGTTAATGCCTGTGCAGCAATTCCATAACCACTGCGCAATGGAGACATCTGGTCACCTACATTTTTTGTATATAAATAAACAATAAAAGGCAGTAAAGGTAGAACTAAGTTATGATTTTGTAGCATAGATCCATGAGAACAACCATCCGGTAAAGACATTTTTCAACACCAAAAGAATACTTCAGATGGATGCCATCATGTACATGAATGGGAAGTCCCTTAGTGACTCCTAAACCAAAACGTGGACAATTAAGTAAACTGTACAAGAAGATTGGGAAGAAGAGTATTATTGGTATTAAATGACATAAGTAGAAAAAACTCATCAGCCCTGGCATACAGCAATAAGGGCATATGCATAATTATTCAAGATGTTCCTTAACCACGAAAAGAATAAATTATTGTGGAAAAAAGTGTCAAAATTTTAGAAAAATAGGTTGAATTCTGAATAGGCTCGATAGCTTTTCCCTTTGCTTTCATTCCATTAAATAATAATCTTACAATCTATTTTAGGTACAAAATAAAGTGCATAATCTATTTTAGGTAAACTTAATAATACATCTATTTTAGGTAACTTAATAATACATATTTCTAATATAAATATTCAACTAAAAGGGAAATAAATTAGAATAAAGTTTTTGGAAATAATGAAACTTCTAATTATAGAAAACTCTTAATTTAGCTGTCTGATTTTCATCCTTCCTGATTGACATTCTCCCTTAAATTGATGCTGACTGATCAGGAAGCATCAATTTGCCAACAAGAAGTTGATAATATTGTCGGGACCAAAAATCCTCAAGCTGTCGAAACAGAGAGTGTCAAAGCCTAAGTATGTCGAAGTCTGAGAGTGTCGAAGCCTAAAAGCGTCGAAGCCTGAGAGTGTCGAAGCCTCAGAGTGCCGAAGCCCGAGAGTGCCGAAGCCCGCGAGGCCGAAGCCCGACATTGCCTAAGCCCGATAGGCCGAAGCCTGAGAGTGTGGAAGCCCGAGGAGCTCAAGAGTGTCGAAGCCCGAGAAACCGAAGCCTAAGAGTGTCGAAGCCCGAGAGACCAAAGCCTAAGAGTGTCGAAGCCCGAGAGGCCGAAGCTCACAAATAGAATCCAGTTACACGATCCAAATGTTATCGATCATAGCCTACAAGTAGAATCTGCGTCCTGTTATAACAACAGACCTGTACGAAGATATCAAGAATTGCCCTAGAAGACACCAACGAACGATACTTTCAAATATCAAAGATACTCCAACCCAAACTAGAGTCAGATCCCGCGAAAGTGAAACCCTAGAAAAGCAAAAACCCGACAAATCCGAAGCGAAGAAAATTGTAAATGATAGAAGACGCCCGATTGTCACCGAAGAAACATAGAACTGGGTTGGATGAGCAGATTCCAAAATCATATGTTAGAGAGAGAGGGCGGCACGACTGGCGGCAGGCGTTATGTGGGAGCCTTTAGTAGATGAAGCAGTCGATGCAGATCGAAATGTTGTCGACAAGGGGTACCAGCGAGTGGAAGCTTCGGGAAACGGCGCAGCAGTGTCCAAGCACCTTCTCTTCACTGATCTGGTTGAAGATAACTAGAAGGATCGAATTTGGTAACCAATCAAAGTGGTTTATCCCTTGTTCCTCCTTCAACGCTGCCAATGCGGCTAAACCATTGCCGACCCACCCCTTCAGTAGATCCAGCGTCACGCTCGACATTTTATCAGAAAACAAGGGCACGAATGAAGCTAGAAAACCATGAAGCGAGAACAGAAGAGAGGAGAATGAAATAAGTCCTAGAAAACAATATTCGTTGTTTCTATGACGATTCCACGAAGGAGACGAGGGGGACGATGCAGCCCGGGATGAAGCGGTAGAAGGCGAGTTGAAGGCGGAGAAATAGTTCCTCCCTTCCCGCAAGAAGGCCAGCGGGAAGGGAGTTTTGACGGTCCTTCAACGATTACCGGTAGTTAGGGCAATTTTTTGCTCTAATACCATGCCAAAGTTTTGAGAAAAATAGGTTGAATTCTGAATATGCTCGATGTCTTTTCCCTTTGCTTTCATTCCATTAAATAATAATCTTACAATCTATTTTAGGTACAAAATAAAGTGCATAATCTATTTTAGATAACTTAATAATACATGTTTTTAATCTAAATATTCAGATAAAAGGAAAATAAATTAGAATAAAAATATCGGAAATAATGAAGCTTCTAATTATAGAAAACTCTTAATTTAGTTATCTGATTTACATCCTTCTTGATTGACAAACAGCAGGTGTACACATACTCATCCAGAAGTTTCAGTGCTAATCTCAAAATTATTGCGGTGTACAAGGCTTGTTCACATAAAAATTAAACACAATTCAGAAGTTTAACTGCTGAACGTTAGCAATTATCTGCCAAAACCTTTAGTAAGAATTTTAAAAAGAAAGTAGCAGAGGTTCATTGTTGAAATACTGATAACGAGAAGAAAAAAACAAAATCTGTTTTATGTAGGATTATACATCTACATACAAAATTTACTCTTTGCAGAATTTCTTTCTCTCAATTCCTGCTTGTGAGCATAAAGAAATACGAGTACAATCCTATGCACAAACGAGGGAAAGAACACAGTTTGGTTAGCAAGAACCCTAATCAACATTTAATTTGACATTCAGGCCCGCTTTAACGGGTGTTAGATCCCAATAGGCGTTTGGAAATTCTATTCAGGTGAGTTGTATCTAGTAATATATCCAGTGATTGCAAGAAAAAAGCAGAAACTGAACCTTTAATGTAGATCATGGAATTCCACGCTCATAAAATGCGGCCAGTGAGGAATTCATTTTTTAATAGGGGTACCTCATGAATCAACCAGTTCATCTCGTATAACAAATTAAACCAATGGTCCCCACCACTTACATCAAAATCAAGGAAAAAAATAATCAGTTGGATAACACTTTTAGCCTCTATTGGAACACCACGAGAACACAGCAGCCAGGTTGTTTGAAAACATACTTCCTATCGTAATCTAGCTTGGAAGAGATTTTGATATCAGAGTTAACCCAAACCACAAAAGAAAAAGTAAATATTATAACTGAAAGCAAATAGATGGTTACACTTAAACACACTTGAAAGAAAAATTACAACAAATATGACAAAAACTCACATTAGAGCATAATCCATGGGTGGTGGAGGTCGGTAGGTGGTCAGAGAATGGAGGCAGGAAGCTAAAATGGGTTGGCGTAGTTGGGACAGCAAAGGGAGGGCTTTGAATAGCATTGGAAGCAAAGCGAAGGACAAAGAGAAGGGCTGTGACAGCGACGGCAGCAAGTGGGGTGGCAAGCGAAGCGGCGAGGAGTGGTGTGAAAGGCTGCAAAATCCAGGGGACAGCACAACGAAGGGGCAAAGCGCAGTCCGAGGCGGTGGCAGCGAGCAAGAAGTGGTGGAATGGAAAGACTGCAGTGAAAAACAACAAACGAGTGTTGTTCAGGGCGGTTGCAGCAATGGAGGATGGCCAGGAGTGTCGTGGGGAAGGTACGAAAGGGAATAGGGAAGATAATCACCGCCCCAGGAAAGAGATACAGCCAGAGCACCACCCAATCTCTTGGATACAGCCTACGAATGGAAAAGAAGAGACGTCTACAACTGTCCTAAAAAAACACGAAAAAGCTAAATCTAGAATATCATTAAAGCAAATATATAATAAGAGGATAGCAAAAAGTGGCCCGAGAGGGTTGGCCGACCTCACAACGTCGAAAAAACCTAACTAGTTTAGTTCAGGAAAGAAAACTAATGCTTGCATGATCACGAGATAGTAGTGGATCACAAAAACATGCACGGTGTTGTAGCAATTCGCGGCACCGTAGCAGTGCCGCGAAAAGAGAAGCTATCAGATGCTCCAACGTCAGTCTCACAGGGTTGGGGGAGCTTCGATCTCACCCGTTAAAGTTTTTATCTCCTCATAGTAGCTAGTTGGGCCTGTTGAAAATAACAACAATGTTGCAAGTTCCCAATAAGTCAATCATGTAGGTGTTGTCATTCCAATGGACATACGAAGCAAATAAATATATAATCTGCTCCTCCCACTTCCCGTACTTGACTGGATTTGTTTGATAAACAAGGCTGTCAGGATGGGTCAACTCTAAAACAACATCTATGATAGGCTAGGCCACATTGACATGTAACCGCTCATGAGTGACATCTTCTTCTCGAGAATGGTCTGGATCCCACTCTAGAATATTCTTTACCACAAAAAACCTAAGGTGATACCCAACATTGTGATTCATCTATCATGTTTGATCCTCTGTCGGGGAGTACACTGTTGAATCGATTTTAATACCCAAATGACTCCCAATTGTCTTATAGAAATAACTCAAAATCTTCTAATCTCTGACAAATTAGATATCACTAAGTAGGGTGAGGCTATATATTTGAAAAGTCAGAGATCTTTTTATCTGAAGTTCTCACATGTCTAGTATCGGATGCTCAAACGAATGGCCCTTTCAGACATCCAATGTCAATCATGTTGATGCTTGTCCGCACGTCTATAAAATGTAGTTTGAGACACCACAACCACACACTCTGCATGAATGTCTATTATATCGGACTCAATAGCTTCTAGATTAGTTACGTCAAGCTAGAATCTCTCTCTATGTTCAACTGGAATCGATGACGTCTCTTTCTCATTAGCTGACAGTCGGTACTCTTTTGTGTCCTCACTCTCTTCTGTGTCGATAGTATCATTGTTCATTTCTTCAACTGTTCCTTCATGAGTGAAAGAGATTTTTCTCCTAGTCGTGCAATCTGATTCAATATGCCCAAATTCTTAACAAATGAAACACTTCCTGACGATAAATAATTTGGGAATGTTAGTTGGTTCCACTTGTTTGCACTCGGAAATAGTGTCTTCTTGGGCGAGGTTGGAATGAATTTTCTCCTAGATGTACTCTGACTGTAAGATCCTGCAGCTGAACCTTGCCTGTAAGATATAATGATCGTAGTAAAATATTGTATTTTGCATTAATCAAAAAGACAAAAGAGCTATAAAAGCTACACAAAAAGAGCAATGTGATGAGCTC